AATTAATTTCCCTTCAAGCCCAAATTCATTAATTTTATTTTTTAGATATTCAAGAATTGTTTGATTTGAATGTGGATATGGCATTTTTTCAATTGTGAGTAGGACATCAACTAGTTCAAAATCTGATGTAAGCCAGTGGCATGCAACACCTATGTAACCTACTTTAGATCTTGCTGTCTATAAACCAGTGATAGTTGCAGTATCACAAGTTTCTCTTATTAGATTGATTAATTTTTTTTTTGTAATATGTATGCTTTTGTAATTAGGTTTTCATTGTTGTGTTGTTTGGGATACAAAACCTTGGATCCAATCTTTTCATAAATTGTTTAAGCTCATTGCCTTTCATCGCATTAAATGGCAAGGAATCCAACACAACCCATTTTGTAGCAGCACACTCATTCATTTAGGGGGGTGTTCTTTGATCATTTCAACAACTGTTCTTTGATTAGTTTTTTTTTCTAAAAAAAAAAATATTATTATATATAATACATAGATTTACTTTAATAATTTATAAACATACTTGTTCTTGAGCAAAAATTTCATGTCTATGTATTAAATGATAGTTCAATGTTGATGTAGATACCGAGTTTCTTGAATATTTGGAACCACAATTTGATACAATTACATTTAATATTATTTCCATCATCTTCAAAATAATCCCAGGTTTTGGATTTTTTATTACATATTTTCCCAATAATATTTCTAGTGTGTCATTAGATGTATTACCAGTATCAAAACCCTCATTATCTTCAGCTTCATTAAATGATTCATAATGTTCACTTGTTACATCCATTGTTACGATATTTTTATGAGCTAATGAAAGAATGTAATATTATTTATTATTATGTGTGAGAATTGATAATTGCATAAATGCAAAAAATGGAAAAATGAAAATACACAAAACCTGTCTTCTGACGAAACTTTTCTTTTGGTGATATTGTTGAACCAGCTTCAGGTGGAGTAGGTGGTAACGTGTGTTCTGACTGAATCTAATGCTGATAAATTTTCAGCTTACTTAATTATTAAAATAAATAAAATTATAATTCTTTTTTTAAATATATATTTTTTCTACCTTTATTGGCTCCAGTTTCAGGTGATGAATTAATATACTCTATGAATTTATTTTATGAATTATGAATTTTATGAATTTTGTTGAATTTATGATTAACGGAGAATATGGAGAAGCCACAAGGTGAACATTATTGTACAAATTGATCATGTGGCTTTGTCATATGGTTATGGGAACAAAAAAAAAAGAATTGCCATATTATTAGGAAAAGATTATAGCAAGCAGTAGCAAGCAGTAGTAGCGTTATATTAAATCATTAATTAAAAAAAAATTAATATTATGGTTAACTGGTTAAATTAACCGGTTTAATCTTGTTGTTTTCATATTAATATATAAGTTAAAAATATATTATGTGTAAACGTTTTTGAGAACAATCTAGATTTGATCAGTATTTAGAAATTACAAACCTGAATTATGTAATGCATGCATAAAAATCAATAATAAAATTTATAGTTCACATGATAATAGATCAAAATATTAAACTAATGTGTGTAACTGATATTAATAAAAAAAAAACATTACATCATATGTATTTTATTTCTATTTTTAAAACTCGAACTCAAAAATGTCTTCTCATAACCAAAATCAACATGAAATATCAATTGATCCTGAGGTATTTATTTTCTTCAATAAATTGTCATTAAATTTAATAAGATAAATACATAATATAAAAATATATTTCCCAATTTTAAAAAGTCATATGTACGAGTAATTCATAAAACGGTATCCATCCCGTTGGAAAATGACCATAACCGTAATTTTTATTATGTAAATGATGACGATAAAAATTTATTTATTGAAATAAATAATTGGAAGAAATCACATATCGATGCCAGTTTAGCTAATGCCTGTCAAAATTTCTGTTTGTCTTTATTTTTTTTGTTTTTGTTAAATCGAATTATTTACTGTTGAACACATTATAATCAATTTATTAACAAATTAATTTTTGTTTGTATAAATAGCATCACATCGTAATGGTGATGCAATTGCAAAAGTTATATATGGTTATCACCAACCAGATTTCATATTGAAATTTGAGGAGGATTACAGTGACGCGAAAGAGAAAAGAGAAAGAGAAATAAAACGTCGAGGTTTTGAACAATTGTTAATGTTGTCTGGTTTGATATTAGAACGGGAATTTGAACCACAAGATATTCTTCTAAATGAAGGTAAAACTAGAAATGTTTACGTCAAAATATATGCATCTTTCCAAAGATTATGCGAAGAAGCACAATTTCTTAAAATTAAAATGTTGTTAAATGTAAAGTAATGAAGGTTTCTTATTACCCATTTCATTATTAATATTTTAATTAAATGCTTAATATAAATCTATTTGTTTGTTATTTCAAATTTTATAGAAAGGAAATTCTAATTTCGATGATGATGGTGAAAATGATGAAAATGATGAAAATGATGAAAATGATGATGATAAAAACAAAAAAAATGGTGTCATAGGATTTTTTTCTCAGATAATTCGTGATTTCACATATGAAATGGAAGGAAATAAAGTATCAGCATTTTTCAAAAAAGATTCACCGGAGAATTATATAGGTGACAACGAATCAAAAGATGATTTTATTTTAAATTTTTGGAGTTCTGCAAGAAGAAATTTGTTGGTATGATTTTTAAACAAAAATGAAAATATTATTATTATTATTATTATTAAAGACTTTTTTAATATAATGTTTAGGTTCATCGAATTATTATCACTGCTAATCAAATTAATGAAAAACTAAAAAATGAAAAAATGATAATTGAACGTAAAACATGTATAAAATCATTATCCATTAATCGTCTGCTTGATCAAAGAGTATATAATAAATTTTATACTCTTCATGATGGCTCCTATAAAGAAGAAGGTCCTCTAGATAAAGTTAATCTTAGAGCTAAATTAAATCAATCATGGGCAAAATTTAGTCGGAAAAAACAACCTTTAGGTGATATTAGAAAATATTTTGGTGAAAAATTAGCACTTTATTTTACATGGTTAGGTAAATATAATATAATATAAAGATTACTAAGTAAAATAAAATACTTTTTATGTGTAGTATTTAATTTTTTAAATTTCACTTGTATGATTAGGCTTTTACACTACATGGTTGACAATACCGTCAGCTGGTGGAATAATTGTAGTTGTATATGGATTGATAATGTAGACTTTCAAATCAAATTATTAATTATTTAAGCATTTGATAATTCAAAGGTTTTAACTTTAGTTTCAACTAATAAAAAATTTTATTTATTTAGTTTTAATATTAATGGAAAAGACAGTGGAATTTATTTATTATGGGATAATGCACTTACTGTACCATATGCTTTATTAATGGCAATTTGGGGTAATTTTAATTTACAATATTAATGGGTTTGCAATAATTATAAGAAAATGCTGATTGAAAGATTTTTTAAAATTTTAATTAGCTACATGCTTTTTGGAAACTTGGAAGAGAGTCAACACATTCATTAAATATGGATGGAATGTATTGGAATATGAAAAAGAGGTTGGTGGAAATGTTAATTTGGATTTTTACTTATATAATTTTTATAAATAAATTTATATTGTTTATTAATACTATTTCAATTTTTAAGGAGTTACCAAGGCCAGAATTTGAGGGAACAGGTATATTATTTACTTGTTGTTATTATTTATATATTTATCATTTTAATGATAATAGTTATTGATTTTTCTCTTTTTTACATTAAAGTTTTAAAACGATCACAAATAACTTTAAAAAAAGTAGTCCGTTTTCCATTTATGAAAAAAATTCAAAAATTTATAATTTCCAGTGTTATAGTATTTGTTTGTGTAAGTAATGTTTTGTTAGATTTTTATGTGGTTTTTAGATAATTTGGATAATAAACAAGTATATATATTGTAAACTTTTAATAGATTGGAATTGTTATAGTAACAATTGGAGTTTTATTGGTTTCTCCTAAATTATGGGTTAGTCAAACAGGAATATGGCAACCAGTTGTTGTTGCATTAGTGAATTTAGCCACAATTTTAATATTGGACATGGTAAGGAAAATTATATATTAAATATATTAAATAATCACAACTCTGAATCAATAACTAAATAAAATAAAATATATTTATAGTTGTATAAAACAATTGCTTTTCGATTAACTCAATTTGAAAATCATAGAACAGCTACACAATTTGAAGGTGTTTGTTTATTGTTATTTATATATTTTTTTAAGAGCATTTATTGTAAAGATACTAACATCATCATTTATTTTAGATGCATTAATTTTAAAAACTTATCTATTTGATTTTATAAATTTTTACTCTGCTTTATTTTATATTTTAATACTTAAAAAAAAAGTAAGTTTATTTATTTATGGGATTAAATTTTCATAAAAACTATCTGACTCTTTTTTGATTAAAAAGTTCGTAGGGTGTGAATTTCAGAATAATTGTATGGCAGAGCTCACTCTTCAATTGGCAATAATATTAATTGGCAAACAAACAGTTGGTCACATTCAAGAAGTTTATATTCCGTACATACAAACAATATAAATAAAAATGATTTAATTTAAATATTATTTTGTGTTAAAAATTAATTAGCATTTATATTAATATTTATATTTCAGATGGTTCCTTGCTTATTTTAATAGAAGATCAACAATTTCGAAAAATAATAGCAAAAGGGACATGTACAAAAACAAAGAAGTCCCACAATGGGCTCAAGATGATAGTTTAACCAAACCTAATAATGTTAGAGTTGAATATGAGGAAATGGGTATATAAAGAATCAATGTCTAATTGTTGTTAATTACATATATACAATATATATTTATATATATTATAAAATTTAGTTATACAATTTGGTTTTCTTGCACTGTTTGGAATAGCATTTCCTTTAGCTCCTGTGTTTGCATGTATTAATAATATGATAGAAATCAGATCAGATGCTATAAAGGTAAATATATAATTAATTGTTTCATTTATTTATTTATGTTAATAACAATTTTATTATATACATTATAGTATATTAAAACGTATCAAAGACCTGTTGCATTTCAGGCACAAGATATAGGAATGTGGGAAATCATATTAACAGTAATATCACTTCTTGCTGTACCGACAAATGCAGTATTAATTGCTTTTCATTCAAGTTGGTTGGAAAATCAATTTAAGAGCTATTATGGGGATCAGATATTAGTAGCAAGACTTGTATTTATTTTAATTTTTGAAGTAAGTGATTTTATTTATAGGGTTCTTTTTCCAATGAGTAAAAAAAAATCATTAAATATTTTATTTTTTTACCTGGCAAAAATAAATCAGCACATAGTTTTTATAGTAAAACTTGTTTTTACATGTCTAATACCTGATATACCAAAGAATGTTAAAATAGCAATTGATCGAGAAAATTATTTAGCTAGAGTTGCACTTGATCATGAGCCACCTGCAATTGATGAATATTTACCAAAGATTAAAGATTATGATGATATATTTACAAGAGATGGTGAATTAAATATACCAGTTGGATATAACATAGGTGAATTCCCTAGAAGTGACACAAGGGGAAAAAAAAAAGAATTAAAAATTTCATAACTTGGTTTAATAAATTTTAACAAGTAAATTATGAATTATCATTTAACAATTAATTAAAAATAATAATAATCAATTCAACATTTCTTTTCTTTTGTACTAAAATTAAAATTGAATCACTTTAATATTATACATACACAGTGAATCTCGATTTAGTGGATATGTTTGTTCCAGAAAAATTATCCACTAAATCGAGATATCCGCAAAAGCAAGATATCTGGATATAGCAGATCTTATAGTTAAATCACGTGATATCAGTTGTAAAAAATTTTAATATATAAAATATACTGATAAAAATAATAATAAAAAACAAAAATATTTTATTCTATCATATAATCTTCTATTCTTGTTTATAAGAAATTTCTCTTTTTAACTTATTGACATTTCTAATTACAGTCATACCTCTTTTATATCCCCCCTTTTGTTTTGGGATTTTTGTGGGATATAACTAATGTGGGATATATTGATAATTCATGTGACTTTAATTTTTTATAAAATTTACATTGGAAAAAAAAAATATTTATTTAATATAACAATAAAATCAATAAAATTCTGTCAACAAAGACTGAAGTTTTGCCTTATCTTCAATATTATTT